TGATTTTTTTATTATTAGTTTTATTTTTTGGAGATTTTGACAACTGGATTAACTATTAACATAAACAAGTGGAAATGTAGGGAACAGCAGAGAATTGTACACAATCAATTATATGAATGTACAAAAGCATTTACATTTTGATCAAAGCAATGAGAAATGTTCATGTGTTGTGCACAAGTGACTAAATTACGTGGCAGTTGAACAAGTAGTTTTGAGAATTCACTTTCTGATCTGAGAAATGCTCTAAAGCAACCGAGAAAAATTGTAAAACACTGTGTCATGCTCTATCAATACATGTTTGCCAACTGAAGGCTCATGAAATGCACCTTTGTGCAGTTTTAGAGAACTGCTTGATCATCGGATGATCTAATGCTTCAAACATTCCCTTCCATTGGTAAAAATCAAGATCAACTCATCAATTCAGGAGACATGTACAGAGAACATGCTTGACAGATTTTTATAACTGGTTCAACCATTTTATATGCAATGACTTATGCAATGAACTAACGCCTAGATGTTTTGGGGTAGTAAGTCTATTCAACAGACAACCAGTATAATACATTTTTACCAACATGTCACGAACAGCTGATAATGAAGAAAATAACAGACATAATCATTTATATGAATTTACTAAAGCATTTCCAATTTTCCCAAAAGAATGACACTTTGCATTTATGATGTGCACAAATGACTCAATGGTGTGGAGGTGGAACAAGTAGTTTTGAGTATTTCAATACTGATCTGAGAAATGCACCAAAGTGATTGAGATACATAACTACCCTTAAATCTTATTTTCATCATCATACATTTGTTTAGCTGAAGTTTTATTCACAGCCTTAATTGCTTGTCTTTACATAATTGCTTCTTTTCTACAACTTGAACATGTAGTGATAATCATATGTTGGATAAGATTGTTTTCTAGCTTCTATTTGCGGCTGTTTACATGCTAGTTCATATTTCTCCACGGGCTGCACATCAGTGGACAGATGAAAGAGAGATATGTATTTGGTTACCTCTAGAAGTCTAAAAGTGCATGTGGGAGTGTATGTCTTGGCCACCAATTAAAAACGGCTCAAGCCAAATGAATATATGTTCTCCCTTTTATGATTCATATTCTTCCAAAAACTAAAGGTACCCAGCAACATAGAACCCTATTTGAAATAAACAATAGCTGTACAGTATACTGTGTACTAATAGCACACAGTTAGGTAGACAGCAGCCAGGACACCCAGGCAGTAGCACTTTTGCCTCAGAGTTCCAGGATCGGGGATTTAAAGCTCACCCTTGGTCTCTGTGTATGGAGTTTGGATGTTACTGTGAATCATACTGTGTACTGGTGAGAACTGACCCACTTCAAGCACTGCCTGCATCACAAGGGTTTCCTCTGGGTTCAGAAGAATATATATTTCTCCATGCATGTGCATGTATGTGCCTTGTGAATAGCTGGTATCCCATCCAGAGTGTATTCTGGCCCAGTGCCACTGGGCATAGGCTCCAAGCACCCCTGCAACCCTGTCCCCGATAAGTAGTTGATAAGAGTGTACGTCTTTAACATAACATAGCTCTCAGCGCAAGATTCCCCAAAATGAATAATGAATAAATAACAAAAAAGTATATAGTACAGTTCAGGTGATACAAGTGAGGTAAAAACATATTTGTAAAAATGGAAAGTAAAAATTGCTGCAGGCAGAACAATACAAAGATTGTTCAAAGACAGCTGGGTTGGTGTCCTCCAAGTTGGGTGGGGGAGGCTAGAGGCACTGAAGGAAAAAATGGCAACTCCCAAAATGAACTCCTGTAGGGCTCAGTCAAGCATCTAGGGGAGATGATGATGCCTGAAAGTGTTCTTCGACTGTACCAGCTTCCAGTTGCATAGGTCGGCCTCATTATTCGAAACAGAGTACAGTTTGGATGAATGCACAGGTAGTTCTTTTGTCTGTCATATAGTTTTAAGCATGTGTGGTGCATATCCTAACATGATGTGTATCTGAAAGCTGTGACTGAGTAGAGATAATTAAGAACCACCTATCAGTGCTGTTATCCAAAGTGAGACACTCGTGTAACACACAGCTTGTGTCCGTTTTCCGCTTGACTGTGTGTCAAATTATTTTTTCGGCCTGTCATGCTACGATGGGAAACGCTAAGCTGTGGCATGGTTGCCAAGTCTGGAGTTTGACTGTGGCGGGGGAATGGGGCGGAGCTGGCAGCTGAAGCAGAGCAGGTGGTGTCTTCCTCCCAGGCAGTCCTACCCACATACTAGCTGGCATATTGTACCCAGCGGGATGGTCTCTACTGGGACTCGTCCACTGGGGAATTATTGCTCTCACTTACTTTGTGACTGACTGTGTGTGGTAAATATCAGCAGTTTAAGGCATATAGTTGAGATATTTTATTCATCCTTGGTGGGAAATTATGTCATCGCCTATCCTGCCTCTCTCCATGAGACACACAGACACACATACAGGTGAAAGCAAGCTTGGGGCTGACAGCACAGGGTCAGCCAGCATGCAGTGCCCCTAGAGCATTTGGGGTTAAGGGCCAAGCTTAGGAAGCCAGCACTGGCATCACTTTGCCAGCCATAGGAATTGATCTGCCAATTGATCTTTCTTGCTTAGCCAGATAACTTCTTAAATTAAGGTTGTCTGGGCTAAAGGCAAATGAAAGAAGTCAATTTAAACTGCTATAACTTAAATCTCACATGTTATCCCACTAAGCAAGAAATCCAGCTTCGTGATACAGGCCCCGGGTGTCAATGATAAAGCAACAGCTCAGAAGCTACATCATATTTTTTAGAATTTGATTTGATTCTGATTCACAAGTTCATCTCAATCTGATTTGATATTAATCCGATAGGAATGAGACATGAGATATCAGCTTTCTGTATTTGGAGAGATGTTTAAAAAGCTCTAAATGGAACACAGACTTCTACAAATGCAGTCACTAGAAACATATTGTGAAAACCACTAAAGAAACGCTTGCTTACCAAACACTTTTATTTGAGGAAAATACGAGTATAGTTCCTTAAAAACAAAACCAGCCAGTCTCTTTCAAAACAAAAAAAACTTCTAACTGAAAAGAATATAAAAATGGGCAAACTCACACGCCATGTTTCAGATGGACTTTAACTTAAGGACATGTGGCAAAATATGAATTGGAATCTTTTTATTTGAGAAACATTCAGGTATTGTTTTGGGCTGGGAATCGGCCCTGACCTCACAATGTCACAAACCCACTAGGACCAACAGAGGGATTATTGACAGAGCCTTTATTGGACAGTGCTGAAGGAACAGAGACTTGGAGCGGGCAGGGACGTGGTCGTGCAGGCAGGGTCGAAAACCAGGAGGTCGGGCAGGCCAGGGTCAGGATCCGGGTCCATAGTCGGGGTCGCAGGCAAAGGGGTCGAGAGCTGGGAGGTCCGTCCGAAGACACAGACAACGCACATGGGGTATTCACGAGGAGAAAGAGTGAGGGGAGGAAGGGCAGGAGGGAGGTCGAGACGGGTCACAAGGAGAGTCGTGCAGGGCAAGCAGGGTGGAACGGAGCTATACGGAAGACAGGGAAAGTCACACTCAGTATGTATCTTTTCCTCTACAATACCTCGCACCGGGCTGTGGTGTCTTTGGGCTTATATCCAACGTGGAGTCCCGGTATTGGTCTGGGCTGCCACCTCCCATTGCCGGTTCACCGGTGGGGCGTGACACACAATTTGATACACAAGTGCTCAATTGGATTACAGTTGAACATAGGGCTGGGCGATATGGCTGAATACTGTATCACGATATGAGTGTTTCATATCGGTCGATATCGATAATTATTGATATTTTTTATGACCCATTTAAAATAAGGACCAGGAGAAAAATATATTACATTTAAACATTTTTATTTTAAACATGTCAACAACCATGGAAATTGGAAAACTCAAATAATTAAAATGTAAACATAAGTCTAAAGTCACAATGAACACTTAACAATTATCTCTTAACATTTAAGGTGCAAAATGAAAGAAAATGTAAGAAATGCTTAATAAAGTGTAATAAAATAGTGCAAAGTGTTAATTATAAACAGAGAAACCTGAGAATTGAGTGCAAGTTTAGTGCTAGGAAATTCACTAGCTGTTCACCTTCTGGTAAATAAAGTGTTTTTAAAATATGTGCAGTGTTTTGTAAACATAAATAAAACTGAGGTAGACTGAGATACATCTGTAATATAAAAAAACAAACCTGATACAGTACAGTAACATTGTTTGAAATATAAAACCTGCAGAAATATGAAAAAGTAACTCTTCAAGTTATTCTTACTCTAATCATACTTGAAGTTGAACTATTCAAGTATATTTTCAGTCCAGGTTTTGTGCTAGGAACACCAGCTGGTTGACCTTCTCTGGGTCTAAAGCTGCCCTGATGCATGTGACAATATTACCCCCAGTACTAAAAATTCTTTCTGAGGGGGTGCTGGTGGCTGGAATGCACAAGTACTTTTTCGCCAGCTGAGACAATCTGGGGAAGTTGTGTTCATGTAGCCTCCACCAGTCCAGAGGGTTAGACTCACTGTCTGCATCAGGGCACATCAGGTACCTTTCCAGCTCACTCTCCACTTTTTGTTTTTCAGTGAGAGGCAAAGCATCATCTTCTTGGCACTGTTTTTTGAAAAAGCTCCCCAATGACTTGCGTTGCTTCTTCATGCCCAGTGGCATAGGTGGTCCACTGACAGCTCCTCCTTCTGCACCTTGGTCTGCTGCTCCCTCAGAAGGCCCTGCTTGTGATTGGCCCTGGTCTTCATCCATGATCTCAGACACAGCTCTCATTTGAATGGCCCCTACCTTCTCTGGTCTGATGTATTGGCGTTTAAACCTAGGGTCCACGAAAGTAGCCATGTCAAGGAGATCATCTGTGTCAGGGTCAGCATATTTCTTATCGATGATAGGTCATTATTTTTGTCTTCAGCTCTTTTGTGAGCTGAGTGTCCCCCTCATTAACTTTCAGCAAACTGGAGCGGAAAAGGTGGAGCACAGGCTTCACGTACGAGACCGTCACATATGACTCCCCAGAAAGGGAGTCTGTGAACTCCAGGAGAGGAGTTAAGGCCGCATGCATTGACTCAAGGACGTCAATATCCTGCCACGTTGGGATCAGGTGCCTGTTGTTTTTGTCAGAAGACAGAACTTCGGTGATGGCCTTTTGTTGCTCTAGGACCCTTGCCACCATCTTTTGTCTTGATCCCCACCTGGTTGGTGACTCTGTGACCAACTGGTGTGTGGGAAGATGGAGATGTTCCTGTGCTTTAGAGAGTGCACTCTTTTTCTTCCACGAGTAAGAAAAGGTAGATACCACTTTCTTGCACACACCTACAGCCCTCTCCACTCTTTTATCTTTTCCTGCAGCACCTGCAGAAAAACAATGCCAGCGTTAATAACTGATAATAGATCACACACAGAAACACACACACACACAGAGTCATGTCAGTGTGTAAAGCTGCTTCCATAGATCATAATATATAATCTCAATTACTGGCTAATAAAATCACTATAGGAACCAACATTGATGGCCAGCATTACAGTGATTCACAAAAAACAGACAGAACTTCCATAAGAGGAGTTGTTTTGCTGTGCTACGACCATTTATGACAGCTGTGTTTCCGGCACGGATCCAAACTAGCAACCAAACTAGCTTCGCAACCTCTGTTTTCTTCCGACGAAGAATAAAAAATATCAAAAGTTTTATCGAACACATTTTTTATTGATATTGTTCACGTGTCTATTTCGCGATACACATCGTAATCGTTTTATCGCCCAGCCCTACTTAACATAATTCATTTTAGCCAGAGGCCAGCTTTTGTTGTAAAAGCTTTGCACATGGTCCCTCAGATATGCATCCTGGAGGGTTTTGTGTTTGCTAATTGCGAGGAAAATCCACAGAACTCTGCCGGAATCAGGCAGCAATTCCTTGCTCAATGCTGCACTTGCTGTATTGAATGATTGATAGCAAAATTAAGAAAAATACCTGGCAAGTATCAGGATTTTCCAGTGAGAATAACATTTTTCTATGTTTCAGAGAGTCTGAAATTACTTTGCTGCACATTTGTGAGTTCATTGAAAGTATAGAAATTACATTTTCCTGATTTTCACTTGAGGCTTCTGTCACCACAACCACCCAAAAAAAAGAACTTTCTCAACAAGCAAAACTTTTGAATTATTAATTGATATTAATTAAGTGTGGCTGGACCTTTGGATAAGATAAGCCTTTGTCTATGGTACCCTTAGCTGCAGTAACTAAGTGATGGAGTCACTTGTTTCCTGGATTTAGTACATGCCTGCCACAGAATGAGAGTACAGAGATAAACCCCCCTGGACCACGGAGCTGAAGCTTCCAGGCAGATAGAGTGGCTTGAGATAGAACGAACTTTATTGGCACTTGTGTCACCAAAACCTGGCAGCAGCATTTGCTTTTGTTAATGGTGGAATTGTATGGGTTGAACTTTAAAAGAGATAATGGCATTAATACTAGAGGTGTTGAAGCAGACACACGGTATCATTTAGAAATGATTGCCACTGCAATTTTTGCAATGTATGTTGCGACAAGACCAAGGTGCAGTACCAAGGCTCTCTTGTATCGTGTGACAAGGTGGGCTTAATCAGTGTAACTACAACAGAATAAGTAATTTGTGCTAATTAATTGTGCTAGTAATTGTGTGAATTAATCTAACAACTATTTTACCAATTTGTCAATTAATAATAATGATTTTCCTCCTAAAAAATCCACCGTTTAATTTTTATTTTGACAACATATTGTCTGTCATTGGAGAGCTTTAGATAAAGGATGCTGGCTTTTTGGAACTATCCAACATTTTTTTTCTCCCATAATTGGAAAATTAGTAGTGTAGCATCTCCCCCGAAAGATGGTCAAGGCTTGACTGATGGTTTTATTTTTTATTGAGATCCTTGTGTTAATCAATCAATAATCCACTGAACCAACGTAAGAGCTTGTGCTGCTTCGGAGGGTGCAAATCATTCTGTTTCCGCTTATTTTCCTTGACGTGAGAACTCACAAAAGCTAAGCACGTAATTTCAAAATAAAAGTCCTTCAAAACAAAGTAAAACCTAGGGCAATATAAATTTACAAAAAATATTTTAAAAATAATACCTTAGGCATATTTAATAATACAATATTTTCTTGGATAACAAAAATACAAATTGGGCCATTCACAAGTAGTATGCCTAAGATATTAATAAGAAGTGTATTGTGATGCTCAAAAGTTAGTAATCTGTATAAATTCAGCATATGCTTAAGAAATTTGTTTAGTGGAGCAAGCCACATGCGACTGTTTTGGCATATCATGGAAGTGAAAGTAGCATACTGAAGTCGTGGTGAAGAAAGGTATGGCTCAACAAACACAATATCTGTTAAAAGAGGAGATATTGATGTTAAACAAGGTAAAAGATGTTGACGAGTGCTCACCACTGCTGTCCCATGGGGAGGGGTCTGGGGACTGCAGCTCTCAGGAGACAGAGAGTTGGGCTGGATAGCAGCCTTAGCCTGGAAGCAGGACAGCCTGATATCTTTCTCCTCAGCCAAGAGTTTTACATTCTGAATATCTCTATTACTCATTACTCATTACACTTATTAGATATGCACAAAATCTGTGAATTGTTGCTGGGCCCTGATGATTAAATTGAAAGGCAGTGTAGCATTACGGAACACCGTTAAAGCCATGTTTTGGCAAAATCTTGTGCAAATTGCAGCACAGGAGCCTTTATGGTAGGCTTCTCATGTTCACAGTTTAGTCATTATCTGTCTTTCTATTATTGGCCCTGGCAGAGAAGAAACCTTTCCCACTATTCTGTTGTCTTATCTTTTATCCATGGAAATATTTGCCATCCAGGAGATAATGTCCATGTCCACATCACTACAAGCAGGAAAAACAATATTAGATATTTTTTAATATAACCACCAACATTTTGCTAATTTAGGTGGCTAAAAGATGAAGTCACTATTCAAAAGCAAGAACAACTGCAAGTTTAAATTAAGCATTGTCTAATTGTAAAAGCTCCTATTTTAACCAACCATGAACACAGATTGCAAGATATTGTAAAGAATTTGCTATAGGATACTCAGTGAAACTGTTAACCTCCTATAAACTGTCTGCAGTCAAGAAATATAAACCTTATATTACAGCACACATTGTATAAAAGGAGAAATTTTATTACATTTGACACTATTCTGCAGAATTGTGATTTAGCGGCTGGGTAATATTGTTGCATTACGGCTTTGATTGCAGCTCCAATATGAGTACAGACCCTCATGCATTTTTCTGACAGAGACTTTGAATTTCTCCAGCTATCCAAAGGCCTGAACTTTTGGTGATTTGGTCATCCTAAATTGTCCCTAATTAATGCTTGTGTGTATTAATGGTCTGCTGTTCAGTGTATACCCTATACACATTCTGATTGTGTGCGTTATGAAAAAAATTTAAGATACATTTTTACACTTATGGTATTACCACTGATGGAGGGAGTTCAGAATATTTACAAACCACTTACAAATCATTTTAGAAACAAAAATAATTTGACACATAATATTTTTGATATCATGATATCTAAAAATAGTAGTGGCACTGCAGTTTCTTTGGTTTACAGAACAGGAAAAGGCCCATGTGTGCTATGCTGTAGACCAGCGTTTCTCAAACTTATTTGTCCTGGAGACCAGTCATGTCAGGCTTTGGGGCTACAGGGCCCTGCATAAAACGACGAGTGTTATTACACCACTACCACTACTGTTATTATTACTATTAGTATTAGTATTATTAGGGCTTATGCCTATGTAAGAACAATATTAAATATGACCTAACAAGAGTGCTTTGGCTAATTTGGCTAATAAATATATTATTGCCAAGTAAATATACAGTTATATAGTAATTAGGCTGTTGTTGTTATTATTATTATGTGTATTATTATCACATTTTCTTTTGAAGAAGTCATCTAATTTATATTTTAGATGTGCATGTTTTGTTTCCAAATGCCGACGTAATTTCGATGGTTTCATAGCCTCGTTACATACATAACTTGGCAGATGACACAGATTGGTTTCGGGGGGGAACTATCGCTAGAAATAAAACCGAATTTAATGTATGAAATATCGTAATTTCAAGTAAATGGGCGATGCTTTTTTGCCTCTGGCTCATCCTATAAGTCTGCATCGTTTGATGGACACTTCTGAAAGAAAGAATCCAGACTCGGCATGATTTATTGACAGCTCTCATAATGCGTATGTGTCTGTGGAAAGTTTGGAGTGAATGAGACAAAGGGCAGGAACGCTGAACATTCTAGAATGCTGAAACAAGGGGCGGGCCGTGAAGTCGGGGGGGCGGGGAGGGGCACGCAGTGACAGCAGCGCTGAGATCAGACTTGATCTGACTGAATTTTGATTGGTGCAGAAGCAAGGCTCTGCAGACTGGCAGGAGCCCTCTCATGGACTATGGTGCCATAGTTTGAGAAACGCTGCTGTAGACAATGATCTGTAAGGGTGTTTATGGCTGATTTGTGGCTCAGCGGATGGAGACTCTGTGCCTGTGATTTGACAGTCACTGGAAGGGTGATATCACCATTGGGCCTTTGAAAAAGGCCTTTAACCCCAACAGCAATAGTAATGGCCTGGAATATGAAAGCCATTTAACAGGAAATCAATATTTTTTCTAAATAAACACCCCTGTACATGATCCTGTGAGACATATGCCAGCCTATGCCAGTTCATGTATGCCACAGGTTTGAATGTTTTGTGAATGTATTATAAATGGGGACTGCATGTTCTATGACTGCCTAATGAATACATTATGAAGGTTCAACTAATGAAGCATTGCCAAATCTTATTGACACTCAATTATACCTTATTTGGCATCCTGGACCCCCTCATTTTGAACTACGTGCACAAGTGTGCACTTTCCTGGGTTCCCAATTATTTATGATGTGTTCCTGCTTGCGTAACGGGACATAAATTAAAAAAAAGAAGCATGGGCCAAGGTATCTGAAGTTATTGGTCTTCCAGGTGAGTTGGTGAAGTGCATAATATATTTTTGTGAAAAGGGAAGGAAATCATGTACTAATTTTGGCACCGTAGCATGCAAAACAATGCGAATTGTCGATAACGTTAATATTATTCATAACATAAGTGTTTGCATAATATAATTACATGCTCCAGTAGAACAGCCATGATAAATTTTTAGTACTATTTATGTGACATGGATGATGCTGTCAAATGGGAGGTATTTCACTAGCCTACTTTAACACATAGCTCGCATATTCTTTGCTTAACTGGAGATAATGATATATGGCATTAAAATATTACGCAGTGGCACATATATTGTTCAAGCATTAT